AATGGATGGTTTCTTGGTTCCAATGTGCTATCTGCTCTTTGCTTGACTACATGGACTTCAGGGTGATTTGCAATTTGGATTTCTGTACTTCGTTCGCACTCATGTTCCTTGCACTAAGGTTACTAAGCTATATTCTTCTCTCAATTTTTTAACCTCCCACCAGCTACCTACATTCCTCAGAGCAAAGGGTCTGCATCTTGGCAAAGGTCCACCTCTAGTCCATCCCAGCCTACCTATCCCCTCAGATATGATAGATTTCATATCATATATATCCCTTATGGGATTTGAACCTGTGTCTTTGCCATGAAAAAGCGATGTCCTATACCCCTAGACGAAAGGGACGAATGAATGTGCGCTCGTTATAGGACTTAACCCAACATCTCACAACACGAGCTGACGACAGCCATGCAGCACCTGTATGAAGTCAAAGTACATCTCTTACGAGGAGTTTCTTTCATATGTCAAGGGCCGGTAAGGTTTTCCGCGTTGTATCGAATTAAACCACATGCTCCACCGCTTGTGCCGGCCCCCGTCAATTACTTTGGGTTGAATCTAACCCCCAGTGTGGATGGAAGAGGGCGTTGTTTGAGCGCATCGGCCCCCCGACAGACCCTTAGGGAAGGTGACCGGTGCCCCGCGGGAACCTATCCTGCCGTAAGGGACCGCGGGAAGTACGGCTGGTGCTCCCGGCTAAAGCGGCGAAGGGATGACGCGACCCCGCCCGCCTCGGTGGTTCATGGGGTTATTTTGCGTCGTTCCCAAGTTGTCTCTTGTTTTTTCTTTGTTTAACTCCTGCGTGACATGGCCGGGAGGGCTCCCGCACTTTGCAAAAAGGCGGGAGCCGATGCGCTCGACAGTGTAACTTCCCTACCAAGACCCGCTAGGGGGGCAAGCCGGCCATCTTAGGTAGTGAACCCCAAGTGCGCCTCAACGGCCGTGGGGAGCCGAATGGATGCCGTGGGGAATTGAACCCACGACCTCCTGAATACCACTTACGTGCTCTACCAACGAGGCTATCTGCCCTTCTTTTCTCTTTTCTGTTTCAATTCTTGCTCCTTTTTTTTTTTCTCTTTTTCTTTTTCTTTGGGATTGCTGGTTCTCGTTTCAAATCGTTGACGTTTTTGTGTATCTGCTTCTGTTTGGGTTGATCTATTTTTTTGAAGTAAATTCAAAAACGTCTTTCTCTAGTTCAGTCCCCTCCTCGCCGTCCTGCTCTAAATTCTTCTCGAAGAACTCTCCTTGCTACTTTGCAAGGTTCTATTTGAGAGGTGTTGCTCCCATCCATGCGGCTTGCACAATTTCGTCGGTGTTGTTGTGCAACATACAGATGAGCAATTTCCTGGGCAACTGCCCCACCAGCATGTTTGAAATTTTGGCGCCTCTTCTATATCCCACCGTTATCTTTCCGCAGCTTCAGTTTACCCGCTTTTCAGGTGCATCAGCACATGCCAATAGCTGAACCAGAAAGAACGTAACATCTTTTCACGGTATCCAAGCCGACCTTTTCTTTTTCAATGGCGTATGTGACCGCAACGGCCGTGATGATTAGGTCCTATTTCTCCCACTGCCTTTCACAACTGGTCATCCCATTCTTCACCATTGTCAAGTAGCCTGTAAACTGGAAAAGATGTTCCTTTCCAATACCAACCAGATTTGAACGCTTGATTTGTGTATCAATAGTTTTTCATGTTTGCATCATTCAGCAGGGAAGAGCGGATTTGAACAGTTCAACTCTATTTTTGAAAGGAATCAGTGCTGCCTGAAAACTGGAAAAGATGTTCCTTTCTAATACCAACCAGATTTGAACTCTTGTTTTGATCTCCTGATCTGAACTCTTGATTTGAACTCTTTTGATTTGAACTCTTTTGATTTGAACTCTTTTGATTTGAACTCTTGATTTGAACTCCTGATTTGAATTCTTAATTTGTGTATTAATAATTTTACATGTTTGCAACTTTGCATCATTCAGCTGGGAAGCAGGGATTTGTACAGTTGAACTCTATTTTTGAAAGGAATCGGTGCTGCCTGAAAACTGGAAAAGATGTTCCTTTCTAATGCAAACCAGATTTGAACTCTTGATTTCAACTCTTGATTTCAACTCTTGATTTCAACTCCTGATTTGTGTATCAATAGTTTTACATGTTTGCATCGTTCAGCAGGGAAGCGGGGATTTGAACGGTTGAACTGTGTTCTTGAAAGGAATCAGTGCCCTCTTTTCCAGGCCTAAAGGATACGTACACGATACTGCACACCTGTGATTCGTTGCTAAATCTTCGGTTTGAGGATTTTCGACTTGGGGAATGGAATGCTATCAGCAGATTCAACCCAGAACAAGACGAACATCCTCAAGGAGTATGCCCATCACAATAGGATCAAACGTTTTTTGACTTTTCCCCTATCAACCTGTTTTGGTTACTAACAGTTACGTCTGTGTGCGATTCAGCCGCATTAGCTGGGTTAAAAGTGATTAAACTAGGAGTGACTACCGTCTTCACCCGAATACAACGCCTGGTCATTATAGCCGTATCTGGCACAACTTTCGGTCCAGATGCAGCGACAATGACGGGGGGTTCTATTCAGGTGAAGACGGTAGTGGAATGGTGAAAAGCACTAGAATTTCTGATTCCAGTTTCCTGCCTTTGTTCCCTCTTTCTTATTTTGTGCAGGAGTACGAGGACATCCAGCTATGGCGTCAGATAAGTACGCAAAGAATCTGATCTTGGTGCTCTTATATCCATGTTGTCCAGAAATATATCAGTCACAGCAGTAAATTAAGGCATGTACACGAGGTGGTGATGCGGACGACACCCTCCGTGGAGCATTGCAATCTGGTCCATGTGGAGACGGCATGGCGGACGACTTGAGCCATTTTCTATCTTTCGTTTGTCGTTCATTCGTTCATCCGTTCGTTTGTTTGTTCCTTCCTTCATTTGTTTGATCGTTCTTTCTTAACTACTGTAGTCCTTGGTTCTTCAAACATATTTCGGGTTTATGTACTCCACCCTCTATCCCTCTCTTTGTTTATCGTCTTTTTTTTTTTCCCCTCTCATTTATTGTCTATTATTGAGGTATTGTAGCAGTTCTCGGCTGCTCGTGAAGCAACAGAATTGCACAATTCTTTATTTACAGATGTTAGCAGGCTCTAAGAGTGTCTGAATTTAGGAAGTAGCAGGAAACTGGCAGCATTATTATTGTGGAAAAGGGAACTTGTCTAATTTATTCCGAGTTCGAACACCTTTTCCCATCCGTCGAGTTGTCGCGATGCCTTGGGGCCTGGGGCTGTACTACCCTTGATCCGTCTTTAAACTCGGTAATGCAAGTGGTCCTGAGACAGTGGGACAGGTCTGGCCAAGTCCTGCAGCATCTGCAGTGACATAGTAATCATCCTTCGTCGTCCTCGTGAGCAGCAGGAAAATCAGATTTAGGGGATATACCCGAGAACCCTGGTTTCCTACAAGTCTCTGCGGTGCATTCAATTCAAGTCGGAAGCATTGATTATTGGACGAAACTTCACGAAAGAGAATTGTCATTCATCGAGTTGGCAGACGAGCACCATTTAACCGGAGTTCGAACACCTTTTTCGCATCTGTAGAGTTATGGACATGCCTTGCGGCCAGGCTGTGTACTGCCCCGATCTGACATTAAATGTGGTATGCAAGTCGTGCTGAGGCCCTTGGGGCCTGGGGATGTACCACCCCGATCAGACTTCATATGTTGGGGCCAGGCTGTGTAAATCTGACATTAAATGTGGTATGCAAGTCGTGCTGAGGCCCTTGGGGCCTGGGGGTGTACCACCCCGATCAGACTTCATATGTGATACGCACGCGGTCCTTAGACCCTTGGGGCGGGGGGGTGTACTACCCCGATTCGATGTTAAATGTGGTACGCAAGTGGTCCTGAGACCCTTGGGGCCAAGGTTTGTACTACCCCGATTCGACGTTAAATGTGGTACTCAAGTGGTCCTGAGACCCTTGGGGCCTGGGGCCTCAGGCCCTGGGGGTGTACTACCCCGATTCGACGTTAAATGCGGTACGCAAGTGGTCCTGAGACCCTTGTGGCCAGGGGGTGTACGACCCTGCCGCGAGGTTAAATGCGGTAAGCAAGTGGCCCTGAGACAGCGGGACAGGTCTGTCAGGGCAATAGGATTGTTTGTATAAGTCCTGCAGAATCTGCAGTGACGTAATAATCGCCTTTCATCCTCATGAGCTGGAGGAAAATCAGCTCGATCACCTAGGGGAAAAACCCGACAGCCCTAGTTTTTTTCTACAAGCCTCTGGTGCAAGTCAGAAGTGTTGATACTGGACGCCGTGGGCGTCCAGTAAATAGAGAGAAATGCCCCCGTTCATGAACGTGGCAGATATGGCTGACTGACTACCATGAAGTTGGCAGGTGACTATACCAACTTATTGAAAACTACTTGTTCACGGTTTGTTTGAAATTTGACGAACCCTCTTTCGACGGGGAGTTTCCGTGTCGACTTTGGCGTTGTAGCTGCCACAGTAGATGGGTCATGTGCCGGCGAGTCGTCATTCGATCTCGGTGATTGAGGCCAGTGTTGGCGAAAGATGTGTCCATGCATGCCTGAGACCAAAGCACGGTGCACCAAAGTAGCTGTGTGGTAGGGATGTTGCACAATTTGCGGGGCGCACTGTGAAGGCAATTTTCCCTGAGGGACTACTCTAGTGTCTAGAAATGAGTTGTAAATAAGTGCTACCAAGTCATAATGATCGAATTGATCCTGTGAGTCTGTCCTTGTTTTGAGGAGTGAAAGCTTTGAGCGTTGTTCCGGTGCCGTGTGGATCTTTCATCAGAATCAGTTGCCTGCACCATTTGATTGGCATGAGCTTGTCGGGAGAACAGGTTCAACTGGTGCTCTCTCTCTCTCTCTCTCTCACACACACACACACACACACACACACACACACACACACACACACACAGAGTGTTGCGTGCAGGTCCTGCGGTGTATTTTTGATTTGTGGTGGTGTTGTCGGCCGTTGCAGAGGGCCCTAAAACTTTTTTAGACCATTGGCATGTGTGGTCGGTGCTTTTTTGTTAGTGGATCAAAGCCCTCTTGTCTCGGTTTAGGGTTTACGGCTTAGGGTTTGTACGAGTATATAGTGGAGCGAATCTTTTGCCATGGGCAGTTTTTTTTTTTTTTTTTTTGTTCCTCTTGTCTAGGGTGTTTTCTGTTTTGCCGGAGCCAGCACTGATAGTGCCCTCACTCCTCACCACACGAACAAATGACAAACGTTCTGTTTTTTTTGTCTTTTTTTCTGCTTTTTCTTTCATTGTGAGAAATCATGATATTGTGTTCACTGGTCGTTCCTTCGCATTTTCAAAACAAACGACCTCCGCATCTCTGTCAAGGCTCTACCCAGCCTCTACCAACCCTGCCCAGGTCTTCCATGGATTCAGGAAGAGCAAAACGTTTGGCTGGGCGGGGTACTGGTGGTTTAACCCCCCCCCCCCCCCCCCCCCCCC